ACCAGTGCATCCAATCTTATGCTTAGCCTCCACAACTGTCCAACTGGCCAAGTATGAATCACACATTAAACCGTATAGTTTTCGCCCGCGACTCTGCCCGCGGTGAATTAAAAAAACAAAAGTGAGTAGCCTACATGTTCTTCTTTAATCTATACCAAGTTTCATTGAATTCCATTCATTTGTTTAGGCTACTAAATCAAACATCCATCCAAACTTCTGCATTTATAAAATTAGTATGATTAGTAAATAATCTGGTAATATGCACCACAACAAAAAAAAAACATTTCATATAAAAAAATTATATCTAAAAAAAATATTTTCCATACTTACACATCTCTTTACAAGATCACTGTTCAAATTCTGTGCTTCACTCAGCTGTCTCTCGAGCAGGTTGCACCGAGATCTCTCCTCGTTCACCTTCTCCTTCAGCACATCCCTCTCCTGCCTTGCCAGGGTACCCTCCTCCTGCTGCGACTCCACCCTGGCACTCAGCTCACTTACTCTACTCTTTGTTAGCTCATGTTCTCTTCTCTCCTAGAATTTTAAAAAATATTAAGAGATTAAAGCGGCACTAGTAAATTTACTTTTTATTTAATTGAAACCTCAATATTTACTGTTATTTGACTTATTTGTATCTATACTATTATAATAAAGCGTAAACACACACTTCTTCGTTGCCTAAGATGTTTGAAATTACAGCATATTTTTGAATAATTATTTTTTTTAATAAAAAGCCATACACCTACTTCACACTTTAGGCTATATATTTTCACGCTATTAAATTTAGGGGGTAAATATTTTCGATAAAAACCCTAATGTGGGAAAGAGACCATAAGTTGCTGCCAACATCAAGATTGCTAAGGTTTGTCATGTCATGTCATTTTGACATTTGCTATTGAAAATTTGACAAATATGAACAATAAAATAAAGTTTTTATAATTCCTCGCGGATGAATCCGCACGCGAACAGCTAGTAAATTTATAATTTTGCCTCTGTAAAGTTTTATGTTTTACGTATATGGGTATATAATAAATTATCTTACTAATAAAAATGCGACAGAATACCTGTCTATTCTGGTTGTGTTACTATGTATATCCAGAATAGCTTTAAATCACTAGTTTAATCCAATTTAACTAACATTATAAATGCGAAAGTTTACATGGATGTATGGATGGATACATGTTTGTTAGAGTTTGAAGCCTAAACGGCTGAATGGATCTCGATGAAATTTTGCATTTTAAATTTTTTTTTTTCACTTTTGTTTTTTTAAATTCCACGCGGACGTAGACGCGGGCGAAAGCTATTTTAAAAATAACGCAAAGTATTAAAATTTTATGAAATATTGTTTTGCTGTAGTATTGTATGTATTAAATTGTCACCTTCTCTAAAGCATCTTCTAAATTCTTCACACAGTCAGCAGATTGTTTGTTCAGTCTCATTATTGTTTCACAGTTGTCCTTCACAACTTCTATTTCCTTCTCTTTACTTCTTAAAAGCTCCTCCTTCTCCGCTATTATTTTATCAGTACTATCCTGCAGTTCCTTCTTCTCTTGAGTCAGTTGTTTACATTTCTCTTGATAATCATGCGCTAAATCAAGAGCTTTGTAGAGTTCACCTTCAAAGTGTCGAGTTTTCTGAAATATTTCAAGGCATAGAAATAGAAATAATTTTATTGAAAACAAAAGATTAACAATTACAATAACAATTACACCAACTTAAACATTACAAATTGTGTTTAATATATGTTTAAACTGGTGATGCCCACACTAGGGAATGCCTGTATCGTGGGCAAAATAGCAGGAAAAATCTTTCCTTACATTAATTACTAAAAACCTACGCTTACGGCGTTTCGGTATTATTTATGAATTACATATTGCTCCAGTAAAAATGAAAAATAAATATGGAAGATGATATATGGTATATAAAATAAATAAAATGAGATGTAACCATGATGCATGTGACATTTAAATGTATTTTACATTACCATAAACATAAAAAGAAAGCCATGAAATGTTTGTATTGAAGATTTTTCAATATTCAGTTCGCAGTTATCATAATTTTAACAATGGTAGTGCCCGCTTTAACATCTTAGCACGAATAGGCCGGCACGCCCGGTGTAATACCACGACCACACAGAAGACAGGCTTGAAATGGAAGCAATTCCGTGTTTCGTCTGATGAGTGTGGTGCCGGAGGCCTAATTTAAGTCCCTTTCTCTTTACCACCCTTTTCTTTTCAGGAGAGGTTGGGAAGAGCAATTGGATTTGACGGTGGAGGAGATGCATAGGAAGGGGAAATGTTCTCTTTATGTGCGTCTCCTCCTCCGTCGTATAAGGGTAGGCAACGCATCTGCAATTGCGGATGTCTATGGGCAGCGGTCGCTTCGCCATTTTGGCGGATTCAGGTGGCCGCTTGCTCGTTTGCCACCTTGTGTTATAAAAAAAAAAAGAAAAAAATCTCCATACAGTGATAATTATAACAAAGCAGTTTTTTTTTAATAATCATGTAAAATTAGATTAAATTCCCTTAAATCTATTTATTTATGAAGCTTAGATTCTACTCACTTTAAATAATTAAGAAAAATCTCACCTTTTGCGCATCATTGGCAACCATTTTAAAGTTATCAACTTCTTTGACCATCTTTTCTAATGCAGCTCGGTGTCTCTCTTCCGCTCGGTCCAGGCTGTGAGTGAGTCGAAGCCAGGCTTCCCGCAGTTTGTTGATGGCAGTGTCCTTGCCGCGGTCCACTCTGATAGCGACCGCCAGCTTCTCTTGCTGTTCCAGAATCTTTCGTTGCAATTGCTGTATCATTACTTCACAATGCTGAAAAACATGAAAGGAATATTTTAATAGCAAACTATTTTGATTTGAAATGGTAAAGAATTCAATTGAATTTGGTTTAGTACAACTTGTTTTAAAAAGTGGAAACTACGTCCATGTGTTTACTTGAATGAGACATGTCAAAATTACTATTTAAAAAATGTGCCAAATCTTTGCATGCATTTTTATATATTAAAAGTAAATACTTGTCAGTTGTTAATACATCCATCCATTCAGACATATGCATTTATAGTATTATACTATATGTTTTTACCTCTCGTTTCAGTCTTTCTTCTTCTAATTTTAAACTGTCAGCTCTCTCAAGTCTTTCCCCCTTCTCCCCCCACAATTCACTTAGACTTAAAAGATCTGTATCTATGGAATCTATTTGCAAAGCTGTCATTTTATCCTTGTTGTTTACAAATGGTCTCATTTGTGGCATTTTAAAGTCTCCTTTCTCTGAATATTCATTAGTGTCTGTTAAGGATGGAGCATGAGAATAACTTGATTTATAGTGTTCTAACACTTTTGACGCTTTATCAAATATTTTGTTTGATGATGGCTTAAAGTTTTCCAAATAACTTGGTGTGTGAGAATACTTTTTGGGTGTAGATGTAGTTTGAGCATCTTTCTCATTGAAATTCAATTTTCTAACACTCGGAGATTTTGATTGAGTTATGTCTTGTTTAGTTTGTGATGCAGAATGATTCTCACCTCGCTCGGACTTTTTTGTACTAGCTACTCTGTCGGATAGAGCATTATTTTTTACTAAATAAATATATTTATCTAAAATCTCACTTGTAACCTTTCTTCCGCTGGGCAATTGGATTTCATTTTCATCGTTTTTTGATTCCAATTGTTTTGTTATATAACTACCTGTGGCTTGAATAATACTTTCAGGACTAAGTTTCTCTGAACCTTTACATCTCGTTTCTGGTGTTTCGTATGACTCAACCTGTGTCAAAAACTCGTCTATTTCATGGAGAAGCAATTTATCATTAGTCTTACTTGGTGTTGAGATAATACTGCTTATATCGCCATCCATACTTTGTGTATCATTTATAGTTTCAGATATACGACTCTGTGTGGTATCTGGTAACTTTAGTTTAGGTATATCTCTATGCAAACTCATACAATCAAAGCTGGTCAAAGATAAATCCGAATATTTATCTCGTTTAAGAACTTTTCTTCGACGTCTGCGAGGAAATGTTGAACACTTACGGTCGAGACTCCTATAGCTGTCGTTACAAGTCTTATTTCTTATAGAACTTGCACTAGAAAACGTGGTACTAGTGTTTAGTTCCAGGGTGTCTAACCTAGACTCCAACGAATGCACTTGGTCGACCAACTTGCCTAATACGTGAGCAGTACGCGAAACCGGTTTATGCACAACTGTTCTTGATGATTCTAGTAAAGAATCATCAGATTCCGAACTGCAAATTAGGAAAAAATTCGGCGGTATCAACAGAAGAACGTCAGTATCGTCTGTCTCACTCATTACAAAATCTGTACGTTGCTAGATATTTGAAAATACGAGCCATTATAACATATCACGTTTAAAAATAATATAATTAAACCCTACACTTTAAAATAAATTACAAAAATAATCGACTTGCATACAAGCAACGGTATAGTTTTTGTTTTATTGTGATTTGTGTCTATGGTTTTCCATAAAACAGATAACATAAAAATGTTTCGAATAGAAATAGATTACATAAAATACAGTACTCTATATGAACATAATGCCAAAACGTTGGTCGTCATCGCACCTTCGCCAAAAAAAAGTAATAACAAGGAAATTATTGGTTTTTAATAAAACAACGTTTAATTAGATATTATTTTTTACTTTATTTAATAATTTTTTAACGACATCAACTGCATTAAATGCAAATTGTGTAGCAGATGTTCCCGGTATTAACTTAAACTTGGATAAAATATACCAATGTCTGAAAAAATATATTATAATACTAATAAAAAAGTCTATTTTATTATGTACCAATTAGAAAGCTTTTAAATAGCTAACATTGCTATTAGAAACTAATAAGATATACAAAATAAATATTAATTACAGACATATGACAATAACATACATTTTTTACATATAGACACATAGGTCTATAGCCAATCTAATGCATCCATCTAGACATAGTCTCTAGCCCATAACATAATGAATCAATATTCACGAAACCAATTTTTATCATGAAGCCCTAACAGCATGAATAGGTGTCTGTTTAATGAATGAATCCAATTTACTTTTAAATAATTCACTAGTTATTGGCTCTCCAATACCACAGAGTGGATTTCTTACAGCATATTTGACATAAATTTCGCCATAAATCTTCTTTAAAAGATCCCTTACACCTTGAGCTTGGTTATCTGTATTCATCACAAACTTCAGCCCCGAAGGTGTTTCTAAGCAGTGCAGGGTGTACTTTGAAGTTTTATAGTTTAGAAATCCATCTTTAGGATCTAAAGGTGATATTTTACTGACAAATGATTTGATCGAAAATAACATTCCATACATAAGTTTTCCTTCCTGAAAGAATAAGATATAAGTGCCTTGAGAACCACCTCGTTTTTAAAGGGGGTTAATTATGAATAAGTTTAATGGAATAATTAATTAATAATTTCAGTTTATCAACAAATCGACATAACATAAAGTTACCCTGTCAATTTAAAAAGTTGCTTACCTCTTCCCTGGACATACCAGACTGCTTTGATCTGTTCCATTCCCCATAATACAGTAAAGTTCCGTAACGATCAAAGATGTAAAGATTGTGAATTGTCATTTTATTCTATCTTTAGCGTTAAGCACCTAAAGCAATAAAGTAATTTATTAAGATTCTAATATTTATACTTATTTCTGTTATTATCAATTATCAATACAAATGACAAGTGACAGTAACAGCTTGACACTTGACAGCTAAAGTACATTAATTAGAGATAAGAGCAGATAAGAGAGACGTCTATGGCTTTTTTGTTGCGATGATATTATGATTATGAAGCAGAAACATAATTAAAACAAGTTCCTTTTAGCTCTGGATGTGACAATACGTATTTACCTTCTTTATTACTAGAAATAGATGTCTAGATGTTTGACTTTAATTCGAACTGAACTGAAAAACGAATATCTCTTATATTTAATCTGTATCAAGAGATCTTTAGGCATTTTTTAGCTATGCTTCACCTTTTTGCTCTTTGGAATTGTAACCAGAAAAAACGAGTGTCTAGAATTAAATAATGGTGTGAAATTATTTGAAATTAAAGCGATAAATTGGAGAATTCAAAACAAACATATTCAATAATAAGTAAGGTACGTTAAAGTAATTTCATTTTGTAGTACAATCTTTTTTTTTTTACTTTCATTCAGAGGTTATTCTTATCTAATAGTTTACAGAAGGTAACCTATAAATAATGGATGAATATTCAAGAGAACCTTGTCCTTGGCGTATATTAGATGACTCCGGCGGTGCTTTCATCATGGGAGCTATCGGAGGTGGCATATTTCACTCCATTAAAGGTTTTAGAAATGCTCCAGTTGGTTTCAACAGAAAAATGGTATAGACCTTCAAAAAACTTTTAATCAGTTTAATTAAACGAAAAAATTTAATTGTTGACTTTTTTAGCTTGGAAGTTTAGCTGCGATTAAGGAAAGATCACCTATAGTAGCTGGTAACTTTGCAGTATGGGGTGGTATGTTCTCCACAATAGATTGCTCTCTTGTATACTTAAGACAAAAGGAGGACCCTTGGAACTCTATAATGAGTGGGGCGCTGACTGGAGGGATTCTTGCTGCTAGAAATGGTATGGTTTTGTTCTTAAACTAAAACAAGAGATAGAAAAAGGCATTACAATAATGTATTGTGTGTGTATACAAACCTTAACCATAGACACTACACATTAAGTTGAAACATGTAATTTCCAAAATATATGTCATAAAATACTTTTGCACATAACTACTTTATCACCCAATCAAGTTCTTGAATGGAACAAGCTTGCCCACTTTGTCTGTGCTGAATCAAAATAAAAACTTAGTATGTACCCTATGTGTTTTTTCTGACTGTGTTCTATATCTATCAAATTTCAACATCCATATTGGATGTACTTATACAAACATCCATTCAAACATTCACAATTATAATATAAGTATGATTTTCAGGTGTACCTGCGATGGCTGGCAGTGCATTAGTGGGTGGTATCCTATTAGCACTGATTGAGGGCATTGGAATAATGTTCACCAGACTTTCAGCTGAGCAATTCAAACCCCAGCAGCCAATATTCGAAGATCCTTCAATATTAGGACAAAGTCAAGGACAGAGCCAATCCTTCCAATAGGGAAACATTTGTTTAGTTTTAAATTTGATTAATGTGTACAATGGGAGAGAAAATGGGTAAACAATATGATGTCAAGAAAACTATTGCTTATATTAAACATAAACTAAAAGTTATTTTATACAAAAGTTTCCTCATTCTTAATGGTGAATGGTATTTCTATACAGTTTTGTCATACTACTTTCTTTTATTCCTATAATGGAATGTAAAAGATAAGACTGGTTGAATTTATTAGATGGTTTCGATTATTCAGATATGAGATTATTTAGTTACAGATTATATGTGCTTAGAAGCTTTTCTGACGGCAGATACTAAGCAAATGAGTGCAGATTGTAGGAGATAAGTGTGGAATCATCAGCAAGCTTGTGCACTGTTTACCCATTTTTGACATATTTGAGTGAGGAATTATTTTCTGTGATATCAGTTGTCCACTGTCTATGCTCAGTGAATATTCAACTTTATCATAATTGTTTATGGTAAAAAGAATATTACAAAAATATCTATGACATATTGCAAGTAAATGATTCAACATATTTATTTGTTTCCCATATAGTTGATCATGTTTTATAGATAAGAGATTTATGTTGATTACAGTTGTGAAGACTTATTTACTCCATCTTCCAATTTGCATCACATAAATTCTCAATAATACTATAAAAACATCAAATTGTTTGCAATATGCCATATTTAAAATGTTTTTTTTTTTCTATTAGAAATAAAGGATGGTTTTATACAAGCGTTTTATTTGGCTTAATACCCTATTTTTAGTTGTATGGCCTAGTTAAGTTTAACATGAACAGATCTTATTGCATATTTAATAAAATACAGAAATTAACAGACACAATAAGTTTTGGCAGAAATTAGGTAAGGTGTTCCGTCGACATACTATTATTCAATAACTTCCTATTATCTTATCAAGCTACATGATCAAAGTGTTACATATTTTTAAAGAGTTAATCGATATTACCAGGTTGTGTTCCCTCACAATTTCACACGCATCACTACAATTGTGTATTAACCACTTTGTTGTGTGATTCTCTCTCCCCAACTTTTCTTATTTCTTTTATAACATGGGCTAACGATTCCGGGTCCACGCCAAGTTCACAAAGTCTGATGCAAATTGTAAGAGTTTCTTGATCGAGACCGGTGTTCAGAAGTTGTGATATTTGATTTAACATTTGGAACGCTTCCCGCGCTTGCCCGATTTGTACATTTTTCTCTGACGTCATTGCTGTTTCTGTAAATAAACAGGTTTATTCGAATACTGCAGTAAACTATGTTTAAATAATTATTATAACATACTTGTAAGTTAAAACTGATTGAGTGTTGTAAAATTGTCAACAAATCAACCGAATATTTTGATGTCAACTTGACAAGTTGCCAATGTCATCGTGTCTAATTTATGGTTTACCATAAACAACTTTGGTTCTTTTCGATGTAAGAAGTTTGAATAGTAAAATAATAAGAGGTTTTACCTAAATAAAACAAAAACACAAAATCTTTTAAATGAATCCAAAAATATGTGGTCAGCAGAAGAACCAATGCAACATTGGCCAATATATGCTTTAACATGGATAAAAAGACAGCCACATGTTCACTCGTTTTACTTAGAATACATACTTTAAAAGGTAAAAGTATCAGATTTCTTAATTTCTCATCTAAATTTTTATTTAAAGCAGTTACTAATGAATTTTTACGAATATCACTTTCAAAATGTCATTAATGATAATTCGTAAACGAATTTACGCGCCATTGCAAGTTTAACGGGAAGCGGGAAGTTTGGAATTTTACGTCTCTGTAGAGTTTTCTATTTTGGTACCGTCGCATCCACAATCCAGAAATAGCTGATGTTCAAGTATTAAGAGTGATTTGTGCTTTTCTTTGCGCTCGGAAATAAATAAGAGATATTGTTCTTCCGTGTAGATTTGTATTTTGATATAAGATAAAATGGTGAGTACGTTAAAGGGAAAGTTATGATTGAAGTAATGAAAACAAATCACTTACACTTTGAATTGAAATCTCAATTTTGTCGTGTCATTGTTCAGATTTGGGCCACGTGTAATTGTAGCGTTTAAAATGATTGGATAAAAAAATGGAGATTGTTTTTCTTGAAGGATAACTTAAATGAGATTTATGTTTACTTGAAAGATTTAATATGCGTTCTTAAAGCGTTCTAATTAAGTTATTTTTCCTTTGTTTACGATCCCTTAGTGTATAACTTGTGCGCAATTGTAAAACTAATTGTAATCGTGTCTTAATTTTATTTTTAACTTTAGACATCTTTTGATATATAAAAAAACGTTATGTATTTAATTCTTCAGGCAGATCAAGCTCAGAGTGAAACTCAAAATGCGCCTATAAACGGAGCTAACGATAATATTCAAGAAGTAAAACCAGTAAGTCCATCTTCGAATCTATTCAAATATTAGAATTCGCAATCCGTAGAAAGAAGTTTGCACACTGGCACTTTATTAAAAAAATAAAACAATTTTGAGCTAAGATGTCAAGTGTCAACTTGTAAGACAGGACATATCTTGACATCGATAAATTAGAATTTAAAACAGGACGAAACCCGTATTTATTTGTCCTTTATACTCTTTGGAACTTTAGAGACAGCTTAACAATGAGGTCACTTTCTAGGATCAATTATCAAATATTTGATCCCAGGTCACTTTGGATCAGGGTCTGTCGTCTATAGTTTCATTTACCACAAATACCATTTACTGTAATAAAAGCAGACAAACAAATTCTTAAAGTATGACTGAATTATCATTGCATTATGCATTTTAAATTTTAACGTATATTTCGAAGTTGAAATTATTTTAGTAAAAATGTTCGTGTACAATTAACAAAATTCCATTCCCACAAGGTACAAATGCTACGAGATTTTATGTTCTAAATTACTAGAAGAGTTTTCTTAAACATCAAATGAAATATTGTCTTTGCACATTACAGGCTGAAGTGGCACAAAACCCAGTATCTGGAGCAGGTGATGAACCAGCAATAGACAATAAAGCAGCACAAGACAATTTGCAAGAAGCCAAAGCTATGGTTAGTTGGTGCCAGATAATATAAACCGTGCTAGTGCTCCTGAATTACATTATTTTTTTTTGTCAGTAGAAGACATCGATAATATTTTTGAAGAAAAGGAGAAAATAGTATATGTGTAAATAGTTTTGCTAGACAACATTAAAAAATAAACTATGTATTTTAGCCTAACTCCAGTGACGAACCCACAAAAGAAAAAACAGAAACCAAACCTGCGGAGACCGAAGGCGCTACTCAGTTAGGACAAAGCAGTGAAGTTCCAAAACCATCAGTAAGTTTAAATAATGTATCAAGTAATTCAAAAATACTACCAAAATAAAATCTTGTTTATAATTTTACAGAATGATTGGCAACAACGTGAAACGGAACTATTGAAAAAAATCGAAGAGTTGGAGAAAGTGAAGGCAGCAAGAAGCGAAGATGGCTTGAGACTCGAATTGAAGGTTGTAATACATTAATTAACAACAGGGAAAATATGGTTTTGTTTGATTAAGAAGGTAAAATTTGTGTTTTATTAATAGGTCCGTGAAGAGGAAATAGATCTGCTAAAGGCGCGTGTGAAGAACTTGGAGACGGAGCTGCAGGCCGCGCTGGCGAAGCCCGGCGGGAAGAACCAGGAGATGATCGAGAAGATAAAACAGCAACATGAAGAGGTAACGCACTGAAACAAGCAAAACTATCGACAAAAGTTAAAAACGCCACCATAATGATAACAAGAGTAGAATAAGCGTTTATTAATCTAGCGTGTATTTATTTTTGATTTCACCAATTAACATCGTCATGGATCTTAGTCAAGGATTTTAGAATTATTTAAGCTTTCAGCTGCTTAGTAATTAAAGAAAAACAAGAACAAGATCAGTTATGACATAATACATTATACTCAAATACCCTCGTTATCTTGTTGAAATTTATCATCAACTTGCCCTTATCCCTTTAGAGGGTAGGCACAGTATGTGCTGCTCTTTCATACATGCTTTGTTTTAAATAAAAAAAAATAGTTCGACATGAATGGTGTATTTCGTCACTCAGTTATTTTTAAAAACACTCAAGGTAATGCGAACCTCCACGTCAGGGAGGAATTAATACCGGATTCGATATTTGTGTGTAGTTACTGAGCAAGGCTCGCGGGATGATCTTCGACAAGACGAAGATGGTGAAGAACCAGGAGCTGCAGATCGAGGCGCTGGGCACGCAGGTGCAGTCGCTGAAGGACATCAACGTCATCACCAAGGACCTGCTCGACATCAGGAACTCGGAGGTCAAGGCCATGGAGGTTAGTCACTGAGTAAGGAACCAGGAGTTGGAGATCCTAAAGCTGGAGGCCCACTTTTAGTCTCTTTTCCTTCTCATCCTTATCTTAAAAAGTACGGATGGAGCATTAGACCGGCCTTAGGATATGCAACTGCAAGGATGGGAAGAGATTAGACGGTAAAGAAGATGCACAGGAAGAGGAAATATCCTCTTTTTGTGCGACTCCTCAGTTGATTAAGGGTATCACATCTACAATCGCGGATGTCTATGGGCAACTCTCGCTTTGCAATTTTGGCAGAATCAGCATTGATGTAAAAAATCAAGCATATTCAGGAGATATCTTCTCGTTACTTCTATTTCTATTTTCAAGTGTTCCCTATGTTTAGTTAGCTTCATCAACATCGTCTCCCTTACCTTAATGTACTCCCGTAGAATCGGCGCGTCGTATTTTCGTCCTCCAAATAACTCCATCATCCGTCATCTCAGTCATCACTCCCTTCATCATGTCACCTTTCACGCATCCATCCATCTCTTTCTAGATCTACCTCTAGAAGACCACAATCATAGTCCAATGATTAGTTTCCAACAGCTTGTGATGTGGTAAGTGGCGCAGGAGCGGTTCCAGGCGATGGAGGCGCGCTTCAAGGCGGAGAAGGAGCGGTACGCGCTGGTGCTGCAGCGCGCGCAGACCTCCACCACCATCAACGACGACCTGCGCAAGGAGTACGAGACGCAGCTCGCCATCTTCAAAGTAAGACCACCTCCCGCTGCCACCGCTGCAGGGCAGGGGACAGGGAAGGAAGCAGGAGAAGACGAGGGAACAGGAGAATGAGGAACGGATTCTTTTAGTGTAAATTAGCTTTCGCCCCGGAATCTGTCCGCGTGATTTAAAAAAAAAAACATAAATGAGTAGTCTATGTGTTCTTTTAAATTATGTTCAACGTCTGTATCAAATTTCATCGAACTCCACTGTCACATTTAGGCTACAAGCTATTATGTACCTTACATGTGAAACGAATTAATCGATTTTTTAATTTTAGGTGTTACCCCTTTTCTTCTCTCGAGTATCTTTACAATTTCTTTTAATTTTTAACTTTTAGTTTAATTACTATGTATTAAAAATATTTCGTTTCAGGAGTTGCGAGAGAAATACGAGCTAAGAGTTAAGGCATTGGTGGAAGAGAACAACCGTTTAAAGGAGGCCGCTAAGGGAAGCACCTCCGCTTAGTTTGTTACGACCACTGATCTGTATAAATGGATAGGCTCCAACTTAAAACGTCTGTCGATGTTTTTAACGGGTAATTCTATCTTTATTAATAGTTAGAATCCCCACCTCCGCGATCAAATACATCCTTTCCAACGAAACAGCATAAATCTAATAAGTTTTATAGCCTGTCCATTTATATACATCGAGGGTTATGAGTCACACCGAGTTATATTTTTACAATGATATTTATAAAGACTGCTCCTAGATGATTGTATTTCGACGAACACTTTGAAAATAATTTATTGATTTTATATATTAAATACATTTTGATTTTACCTATTTAAACGTTTTTCATTTAAAAAAACATTTAAAATTAAGTTTTAATTACAATTTTTTTTAAGTTCATAATATAGAATTTTTACAAAGGTCTCTTCAATTTACAGCCAGTCTTAATGCACGTTATTAGGCAGCAAACAGAATAACATTTATAGAAATTTTACAAACGCAAACATTTTAAAGTTCATGAAAATATAAAAAAATTGTGCTATCATATTTCTTTTCATATTTTTCAAGCAACAATGTCTATTACTACCGCTAACATTGCTATATTTAATTTTAAATTGTTTGCTAAACATTAAAATTACTTCTTAATTTTATAATAGTTGAAATCTATAAAGCATTATGTCAACAGGTCGCAGACTATATTCACAAATCGTTTATTCAGTTCCCTATACTTTAACGTTTTATAAAGTACAACAAACGCAGTTCCATCCACTTGTAAAATTGCGTCGATAAAAGTCGTGAGCAAGCTCTCAATGACGGAGCCCATCTGTTCGATTCTAAAGAGGCAACATTTCCAGTCCATTTTCGTAGATTGCTATCATACGGGGATATTGAAAAGGTTACGCTACATTTAGCAGGGATTGAATTAAAATACTATTATTATGCTGAACGAAAAAACGTTAAGTACTTATGGAATTCTGAGATAAAATAACCATTACGAAACCTAATAACATTTTTATCGAAAAAAAAAACTAATAGATTAGAGACTTTGAACATTATTTTTTAAGTTATTACTAATGTTATAATTGCATTAAGATGAATGGATGGATGTTTATTCCTAGTGTTAAAAAGAAAATCGGGTAACACTAGAACATCGGCATAGATGTCCCTTCTCTATCTGACAGCTGTCAATGTCATTCTGACGTATTAGAATAGCGCTCCATTCTGGCGAGATCAGTAGCTCTAAGTTTATATTACGTTGTTCACTAGCTATCTCAAAAACTGCTTAACTAAGCGCGATTAAATTTGACGCAGATGTACATTTAAAATATATAAGCTACTAAGGTTTAATTCCGCTGGCGAAGTCGCAAACAAAAGAAAATATTTAATAAAAGAAAAATAAAAATATAAATGTAGCTAAAACATATGCGTAGTCTCTTAACATAAGAATCTTTATATAAAATCGTATTAAATTTGCCTTTTCAAGTATATTTCAATTCTCATTTTCATAAGTAGAAAAGGTTTCAAGAGGCGGTCGGGATCGGGCGACGTCGACAATTTTTGCGGTTTCATTGAAGCCCGTTTCTGCAGATCCTTCGAGTTCGATTAAAAAGGACAGCACATTTTTCGTTTATTATTTATATAATCACTTTCCTCTGGATTAATAGAACAGCTGACGGCCTATTATTGCCGAACTCAGGATGTAAGCATCACCTAAGTACTAAAACTACACTAAGGGCCACTAAATTGAAAATACTGATAATAATACAACGTAAAACATGTGATGGAAATGTCGGATTTCGCTCCCTCATAAGATAGTGACGTCATTTTATATCTGACCCTTTATCAGCTAGTGGTGGAACAGGCCCTACAACTTTCGTTCAAATTACACGCATATATGTTATTAGTCCTGTAAGAGCTAGATAATTTTCTTGATGTTAATTGATTAATGTTGAAATTTTCCCTTTTTGACTGTGTTTAAGAAATTTTTAAACAGCGAATATATGGAGGAAGGCTACAAACATTACGTATTCCATACTCCACTCCACGTCGTGTCGATGCAGAATTAATTGATTCGTTCATTATGTACGCTGACTGACGTTCTGAACAAGCTGTATGTATAATGAATTTGTAACACGACACAATTCGAAAGCATGTAATGTAAATCCCACTGCAGAAAATAATTCAGAGATCCCAACGATATGTTAAGTTTAGCCGCAGTCTCATTATATTTACATAATTATTATATATGACAAGCGATTAAGATGCGATATTAAAAGCATGGTTGATTATTCAATTAAAAATCTATTCGAAACACGTGTACAATTTCTAAGTTACAATCTATACTATCTATACTATTATAATAAAGTCTAAACACACACTTCTTTGTTGCCTAAGATGTCAGCAATAACAGCATATTTTTGAATAGTTCTTTTTTTTAATAAAAAGCCGTACACTGACGTCACGCTTTAGGCTACATATTTTCACGCTATTAAATTTAGAGGGTAAATAAATTGACAAAAACCCTAATGTGGGATAGAGACCATAAGCTGCTGCACAATTGCAAAGCAAGGTTGCAATGCATTGTCATCATGTCATATCATTTTGACATTTGCAATTGATACTGTGACAAATATCAGTAATAAAATAAAATTTTCATAATTTTAAGCGGATGAAGCCGCACGGGAACAGCTAGTTTTTCTATAAAAATAACCTAAATACAGAACAAAAGATAAAAAAGGACGTTAAGATTAAAGGAGGAAGGGATTCTTTTGCAATCAAAGCGATGGAAATAAACATCAACACTTCTGAATCATTTAAACTGTGAAAAGAAAATACACGGGCAGGTTACAGGAAATTCCCTTCCAAAGAATATAAACGTACTTCAAAGAGGGATATGAATGAAAGAAATTTTCTCTGCCTCCATTCAATTTTATGTGATAGATGTAAATACGCCTTTTGACTGCTCACAAAAACAATAAGATTAAACTTTGCTCAGCCATTTTTATTGAACACCGTCTGATATTTTATTTGTGTTCTTTTTTGGTAAAGGTAATAAAAATATAGTGTGAAAAAGATTAAATCGCGAATGAATACTGAGCAAGATCAAACATATTTACTTTAAATGCAACATATTAATTTTTTCTTATGGCTACCAAGAGACTAAGTTAGAAAAATTATACTCAAGATACTGGTTACAAACTTAGACCGCGCGCGCACACTTTTGACTAAACAAACGCACAATTGTTGTACGATTGTCGATTGTTTCGCAGCCAATTCAACTGTTTAGCACAACTAAAAATCAAAACGCGACTAAACAGTTGTGCGATAGTTTAGTTTCAGGTGTGCGCACGCTATTAACCTATGTTATCAAAGACTATACGTGTGCAAATACTAATATTACGTTGTGCAAAGCTACTGCAGAAATTGCATCAAAATAGATATATGTGTACATACACTTGGGACTTGAGAAGTTTATTGCATTTTGCACGAAGCAATCACAAGTATATTTTTCCTCTTTGAAGTTTTCAATACATTTCCTCTATAGATAGAGTAACATGTACATATCGCTGTGAACACGAAAGAGGAAACTTTGTGTAATGCTTTTAAGAAAACTAGTTTTCTACAAATATCAAATGCCTTGAGACTATGTTAGACAAGTCCCGAGTAAATAAAATTCCTTTTCTATCTAAATAGCAGTTATACAGATTATGAAATAAGGATTGGAGAAGTGTTTTAGCTTGGTTATAAATATAATCCGCTACGATGAAACGGTATTTACATACCAAAAGGTTTATGCTACCCCACAGTCGTCTTTAGGGGTAGAGGAGAGAGAGGACACAGAAGAATCGCAATAGTGTTAAGTAGACATTAAAATAAATTCAAATAAGAGTATGTTATTGGCACCTTCCCCCTTCCTTTAATTAAACTTTATTGTGTTAAGAACAAAATTAGTACCGTGCTGTAGAATTGGCGCAACTCTAGATTATCGACATAAACGTCACGTCCCTAGCTGACAGCTGTCAATGTCACTAGAAGTATGGGTAGATTGGCGCACAACCTGAGTCCTGACGAGAAGTGTTGCTCTGAGTTTAAAGCGACAGTATTAATTAAATAAATTGTCTAAAAATTGTAAATTGTAATATTTTAATAGAAAGAAAACTAAGCCTGAAAATACGTAAAACGACCGCACTCCCTTAGGTTTAATTGAGCAAAGACTCAATTACACTTAAGACGTAAAGTGGAAAAGGTTTGCGACGTAATAAAGTTAATGGGCGTCTTCCTTAAATAGATCAACGCTGTTGACTTTAAATTTAAATTAGGAACACACCTCAAATTGCTTTTGTATCTTGTTGTAAAAATTGTCAGGTAATTTTCAATAATAACATGAAAGAAAATGGCTACAGTTATTTTTTCTTTAAAACCATAAAAAACATGGTTAACGTTTGTCAAAGAAAACTAATAAAATATCGCTCCAATCTTTAGGAGAAATTGGCATTTTAAAATTAGCGACACTATTTTTTGTTTGTGATTCTTTTTTAAATGTTTAAAATTGTTTTTACAAGTTTTCTCATCATCATCATTTAGCTTTCAGCGTTAAGTTTGATATATCACACAATATACTGGCACATAACTGACTACAAATCTGTAATGACCTTCCTCGTGGGAAGCTATCCATTACTCTAACCTGTCTTACAAAATATCAAATGTAGAGATGCGCCTCGCGAGAGATTTATGTGTTGAAATTACAAAAGTAACTTGGAATTGTGACGTTACATCATAAATGGTTGTGTTTGTTCATTTTTGACCGACTTCCCTAAAGAGGGAAGAAAATTATAAAGGAAATAAAGTTATGGTGAAAATGTAGAAAGGCTTATGTAGAAATATCACTAAATACCTCCGCTGACACCAACATTAAAGTAATAATAATTGAACAATATAGACATAACAGCTACAATAAGAGAGGCTTTTTAGAATTTTTATTGTGTGTTTAGTGCATTTTGTTTGGAAGTCGGTTTTGTTCCACTCCAAGGGAAATAAAGATAAATATCATTAACTAACAAGCAATTTCATTGTTTACAATTTTTTTTTCGATATCCAATCAGTTTGAAAAACACAATTGATTTCCAAACAGCTTTCATCTTTCAACAATTAAGTCCTTTCGAGCGGCGCACAGACCGGTCCGTTAGTGGCGGAGAGGACGGGTAATGGGAAAATTTCTAATTACAGAAACTGCCTCCCGTCTCCCGTTGGTCCGTAGACGTAATAAGCTCGAATGTACTTTATCTAATCGAGAA